TCCCTTCTTTACTAAGTTTTCTTTGTGTTTGGTTTTTTTTTTTTTTTACTGGAAATCTATTTCAAGCTATTAAAAATGTGTTCTTGTAGGTGCTGTGGTGAAGACATGGCAGCTGTTACCCCGCAGAAAAGGAGCCGTAGTTCTACCGATATCGATGGGTATGTTAGCTTTTCGTATTTTTGGTTTTCTAATAAAAGCACCTTAATTGCTGCACATAGAATAAAACAGTCGTTTAAAATCCTTGAGAGCTTTTGATGTAAAGCGGACAAAATATTAAGGTGGATCTGAGACACAGGTAGCATCTCCCCATGTTTATTAATCAGAGACTTAAAACATTTTATATTGTACTGAGCATCTTGAGAAATTTCATCTAATATGTAGAGAAACTGAAGCTAAAAATGATCCTCAATCTGTAGCATAGCACAGAATTAGAAATGAGAAAGAGCCATTACCCTGAGCTGACACTTTGCAGGCCCACATTAGCAGGTTGCATTAGTTTGCATTTTGGCATTGGTTTTTTTTCTTTTATTAAAACAAGGTACCTTGTTTTGGCAGTCACCTCTGTCAAATGCGTACCCCTGCACGTGACATTCGCACACAGACCTGGCCCTGAGTCACAAACCCAGTAGAAACCTAAAAACTGATTGTTTAGAAACTTAAGATATAAACTCCCTGATGTTTGCATTTCTTTGTGGTAAAGCCTCAGTCTTTCCCCTTTGGAAAGTCTTTGATATACAGTACAGAAATACTGAGGTCTGCACAAATTGTCTGAATAATCTTCTAGTGTGAATAGAAAAATAGTTCCTTTGTTATGTATACCCCCAAAAATATAGATTTTTTTTCTTCTCCCCCACCCCAGTCTAGTGGAGGAGAAGCCACTGGCCAGGAACAAGCTGAGCTTTAAATCCAAAAGAATAGAATGTTTCTCGTTCTTTTGTAACTCTACCAGCTGAACAGATTTTTCTCATGCTTGTTCCTGTACATCCCCTCCAAAAATATTTCAGGGTGGGGAGAGACCAAGAGTGAAGTTTGATTGCTGAATTGGAAAGACAAATTCCCGGGATAAGTGTAAATACTCGCCGAGGCAACGCCTCGCTGCGTCGGGCGCCGAGTGTCTCACAGCCAGGAACGGCCGAGCGTGTCCTTCAGAGCGGTGTGTTACCTCCTGGGCAGTAGGTTTAGAAGCTGTTGGTGATTGACTGATGAGGTTTGAGATTCTGAAATAGCTGTCAGAGTGAGATTTCGAGGGGTGCCTTTCAGAAACCGGTGTAAAATATTGTGAGATCCTCCCCCAGCTTTATCAGCCTTACGCGCGGTGTGGGGTGCACGAGCTTTTTCAGAGGCGCAAACCTGAGTTGACAGAGTTGGTCTGAAACGAATCACACATTTATTTTTTTTTTTTTTCTCCATACTTATGAATAGCGCTGATCCTGTCAGCAGCATTCCAGAAAGTAGAACGACTCTTGTTCCCAGGTGCTTTAACAAGTTCAGGCCGGAAAACAGATTTGCTATTTAAAAAAAATAAATATATTTGTGGAGAGTCTTAGGCCTTTTGCTATTTGTATATTATGTTTTGATATTTGATATTTGTATTTGTTACAGGGCATATACCAGTAGAGACAACTAGGCTGAGTGACAGTTAAGTGGTATTTAAGTAAAACAATAATCAAAAAGCTTTCAATGATATATGTGATGTTTTGCTCTGCGATTATTTTTGCAGTTCATCCTCAGCCTTTGAGACTCCTGTGAAAAAAAGGATGATAGGCATTGCTGAAGGTCTGTCTCCACTCAAGAAATCGAGAAATAATTGGTTTGCTTCTCAAATAAAATGGTCATCGAGCTCCAGCGATGAGATGAAAGAAAATGAGGCCGTCGCGGGGAAGCCGGCGCTGTCGAGGACGCTGGATATCTCACCCCTTCAGGCAGCCAGCGTTCCCGCAGCTGCACAGAGGGAGTCCTCCAGGAAATTATCCCCAAAGACGGCTTCCTCGTACAAGCCCCTTGTGCCTGTGGTGTCTTTTTATAGCAAGGAAAAGCAGTACCTTACTCCCCTTGAGAGGAAACGACTGAACGAGAACCACTCTTGGGGTGAGAGGAACGGGGCTGAAAACCTCCCAGCTGCCAGCAGGACTGAGAAGACGAACATGAACTTGAGCAGGAATACAAGCTCGAAGCCAACCAAGCACACAACCAACTCCAAGCACGGCAAAACGGTCCCCAAAATGCTTAAGAAGGCCAAGGGAGAGACACCAGCGGGAAAACCCAGCGTGGAGAAAGAGAACGTGAATTGCCTAATTAAAAAGAAGATGGATTCACCCTTCAGAGTCCTAAGCATGACAGTTAAACCAGCCCTGAAACTCCAGCTGGGGGCTGCGTTCTTTTCCGCCAGGAAGAAATCACACTCTAAAAAAACTGTTGTAGACACCAAGTCTCTCCAGGATCTCCCCAGATCTCTGCAAGAAAACGATCAGCCCGGACCACCGACAACTACGAAGTCTAACTCGGCGCATAGAAACCAAATTCTTGAGGCGGGTGGTGTACTGAGAAGCATTTCTGTGCCTCAGAAGAAGGAAAATGAAAACAGGGAAGACTTCACAAGCTCTGCAAATCAGGAGGGAGATTCGGCAGGTGAAGGAAAAGCCTCTCCGCAGAAAAGCGGACGCGCCTCTGGTCCGTTTTGTACTTCCACGTCTGCCGCCGCGGGAGGCGGCGACGCGGGGAACGTGGTAAGTAGAGCTGGCATCAGGACCTGCGGAGGCATTCAGGTGACACACACCCACCTCGCTGTTTTATGTAGATATATTAGGACGTAGGCTGCTTTATTTAAGGTATTTTAGTGGATTTTGCCTAGGAAAACTTTCACAGGTTTATTCCTGCCTTATGAAGGCATAAAGCTGCGGTAAACTTTCAGGAAGTTCTCGTCAGCATCGCCGTCTGTTGCTAGCTCTCAGTTGTGGCGAAATAGTCAATTTATGATGGCTGAAAGGAAAGCTTTCTGCATGATGTTTTTGCAAAAAACAGGGTTTTTTTTTCCCATGATAAACAGCAAAGCTGAAAAAGCAGTTTTTAATGTCCCCCCCCCTTTTTTTTTCCCTCCTACTGTTCTAATGAATGTAACAAATGCCCAGCCTGACCTTGCTGAGTTTTGTGGGAGGTCATGAGCCTGCACCCTGGGCGTTCTCCCTGGAGAATATGTCTCTGAAAACGTTACCCGCTCAAAGCTGGAGGAAGGAGGTGCTTCCCAGAAGTTCTGCTGCTTGAAGCCTTTCGTGAATTTCCCCAGCCACGCGCTTCTCCGCCAGTGAAATAATTGGACAGAGCGTCTTTATTTAGCGATTCCTCCTGGGTCGCAAGGTGTTGCTTGCTGGTACAGCCTGTGCTGCAGTCCAGGCAGTGCTAGCAGGCTTTGCTCTGGTCTGAGGTTCTCTTGTTAGCGATTATTTCCTCAGCGGGAATGACGTGTGCTAGTTCTGCAGCTCCCCCTCCAAGGAAGCAAGACTAAGCCCCGGTTTCTAATGCTTTAAGAAACCAACAATGAGTTTTCTGAGGTGGCCTGTGTTTAAGAACTGTAACCTCTTTGTGTATCACCGAAGAGGTATAAGCAATTTTTATCTGTTGCTACCTTAGCAGTGAATACTCCTGGTGATAGGAAAGTGTTGTTTTGGGTTGCTTTTGTTGGGTTTTCTTAAACATACATTTGATTCTTGTGCAAATATGTTTAGCGGTGCTGGAATTGTTAAACTTTGCAATGAGTCTTGCTTATTGCCAAGAAGTTAATGCTTGCCAGAGCTCGCTTTTAATTTTATGATTTGCCAGGGAATTGTTTAGCTTGGGGTGTGGATTTTGCTTTCTAAAGCTGTGAAAGGTAAGGGCGGCAACGCAACGAGCGTAGCGGTAAAATACAAATTTGGAACAGGTTCGCAAACTCTTTCGTTACGCTCAATGTCCTATTTTGCTGTTGCATTCTGGCATCTAAAATGTAGGCAAGTAGGAAAAGCCAGTGGAATACTACCGTGGTATTTTATACTGGGCATTGAAGGGAAGCAGTGAACAAGATGGGAAGCTGTTTTTATAAGGCTAATGTGTTTTATATTCCCGTGTCGGTTCAATAAAGGACAGTTTATTGCCTCCTTTGTTCACCTGCAGTGTTTTAGTATCTCTCTCACGTTCCTGACTTGATTGTCAATATGTTTTTACAATGCAGCGTTAATAAAACACAAATGTTAGCTTGTGCAATCTAATCTCGCACGTGCAGTAAAAAAAAAACAAACCCAAACAAACTTGAAAGCATTTGATTCTGCTGTGATGGCAGTTTTTTGTGTTGGCAAGCTATTTCTCAGACGTAAACCAGAAGCATGGAGTGTTTGAAAAGGGAACTTCATCACTTCGGTACTGCAAACTGAACACAGACCAGGTTTTCCCTTGATCTAGTCTCAGATTCTGCTACGGCCGGTTGCTTTACCTGGTGACTGTCTAGGTTCCTGATGAGATGGGAAATAATACACTGCCATACCCCAAGAGAGCAGAGTTCAAGGCAAAAATCAGTTTGGCAAACTTTCATTTCCAAAAGCTGTTGGGATGCACAGCTGTAGGCAGAGAAGGAAGCAGAGGCCCAGAAGTGCTAAGGTGAAGATAGGATACAAATCTCCACAGCTGAGATTTATCTAAAAACGAAAGAAAAACCAACCCACAGCCCGCACCAAAACAAAGGCAGGGGCATAAGTAGGTGTTAAGGCGTTGAGAATCAAAAAACTTGATTGTTTGTCAGCAACTAACTAATTGTTTGTCAGCAACTTGGTCTTTACACTAGGCTTCGTAATGACAATTAATACTCGTTGTCAAGGTCACTCGAGCTATATTTGAGTCTGTAGCTGCTGGCTGAGAACTTAATCAACCAGAGAGTTTTCTTTGTGCCCTAAAAAAATTCTCTTAATTTATAGGAAGCTGATGAAATTGGTTCTGCCACCTGTGAGTTAGATGATGGCATTATTCCTTCAAGCCAGTCTCCATGTAAGGCGAACGAGCAAGGTAAGTTGGATTATCCATATCTTGGTCTATGACTTTTGTTGCTGTAGGAAAATGAGGCAGAAGAGACTTTGAAAATCCCTTTGGTTACCTGCTTTTCCCCAGCAGGATCAACGCTGCTGAATTCCCATGTTGTCCATTAAGTTAGTGTTTAAATAAGCTGGACGGTAATGATGGAGACTCTGCTGTCTCCCTGATGAATCTGTTTTAGTGTTAAGCAGTATGTAAATTTGTTTTTTATGCCAATGTCTAGCCTATCCTTCCTCTTTGCTTTACTACATAGCCCATGCCCAATAAGAATTGGGAAATAGCTGTATTTGAAACCTATTACTACATTTCCCCCCATTCTTTTCTCCCTGGACTGTTAGCCTGATTCTTGCAGCTTGCTTTTTGAAATCGGGGTTTTTAGGCATCTGACTCTTTCATTTATTTGTTTTCTCCAGACTGAGCCATGTCCTTCCCAGTGTGGGTATTCCCAAACAGATCTCCATCTGAGCCTCGTGAGCACTAATTAGCTGGGAGGGAGTAATTCATATATTTCCCACACAGTTGAACACATACATTTCCGTAGGAAACTCTGTGTTTGTGAGATGCTTTTGGTTTGAGGTAGACGATAACCCAAGTGTTTTACACACAGCTGCTGCCCAGAGGGTTGATCCCTATCTCTTATTTTGCCCTGGCTTCTTGTTAAGTGTAGTGGTTCCCCGTATCCTTATTTCAATCTATTTGTTTCTGCCCATTTTCAGTGTAAGAATGCTTTTAAAATTAAGCTCTTAAACGCCTCTGTGTGCTATTATCTACAAAGTCATAAGCATATATTATTGTTTATTCCTGATGGTCACCAAGGAAACTCCACTCTATACTTTTTGTTTTGGCAGTGAATTACTAACAATAATTATTTGAATATGATTGCCCCCCCAGTCAACTTTGCTCCTTTTCTTATGGCTGGTTTACAGAGACCATACTTCCCTACTAACACAAGGAGTTTTCAGATGTTATATGTTAATCTTAAGACATGTATTATTTTTCCTCTTGGGAATAACAAGTGATAATAAAATAATATTTAAGTAACATATTCTCTTTTTATTAAGGCAAAATAATGTGTTGGCCTCTACCTGCTGTCATCTTCCAAGTATGCACTAACATGTGCCAGTATGTTTGCAGAAGTTGAGGTCATGTTATTTTATCCCAATTTCCTGGTTTCTGCATTTTTCCCTTTTAAAAACAGGCAGCATTTGCTGTTCTAGCCTCAGCAGCCCTGGGTTAATTCAGTCCTTGCTAGTCTGAAAGGTCTGATTTATCTGAGAGTTCTCTTTACATCTTGCCCCAGCTGTGGAAGTTCACATCTCCTTTGTGTCTTAATCGTGCTAACGCTCTCGTCACAACTAATTCTTTTATTGATGACCGAAATAAAAAGGCACGAAATGTTTTGTCAACGTTCATCATCTGCTTTTAGCGTTTCCTCCTCTTTTGGTAGCAGAAACCTCCGGGTTTTCCTCTTGCTGTTAGCGGATGCTTTCCTGGTACTGTGGCCTTCCCAGGTAGAGCTTATTTTGCAATTTGGCATTTCTGCTTTCACTCTTTCACGTTGCTGCCCTGCTTTCCCCTGGTTTCTATTCCCATTGTGATTCCTTGAGTCTCCAGTGGGCAAAAAAGTCCTGATTTAGCCCTCTTTGTCTCTTACTCCATTTCTTCCTGGTGCATCTGGTCTTAATCTGTTTCTTGAAGAAATTGCCAGCACTCCTGAGCTCCCAGTCCCCCTCCCTGTAGTCTTGCTTCACACATCGGAACTTATTTACCCGCTTTGGGAACGGAGTGAAGCCTGTTTTCTCGAAGGCCACCCTGTCCCTGCGGTGCCCCCTCCTCTGGCTCTGAGGAGCGGCACGCTCCGTGCTGCCATCCCCTTCTCTTCCTGCCGCCCCCGGCGCCGTACAGAGGCTCCTTTCACTGTGTTTTCCACCTCTTTATAAAGCTGTTGCCATCGCATTCCCAAAGATTGCCTGACATTATTTGCCTGCTGGGGCCCTGCCTTGGCCCTCTAAGATCCTGCATTTCTAGGAAGCCGTGAGCTTTTTTACTGTTAGTGTCGTCTTCGTGGCTCCTCGTGATCTTTTCCACTGCTGATATTAACATGAGACCTTTTTATTGCGTCCTGTTTCCTAGAAACAACTAGTTCATCTTCGTGGTATGTTTTCTGGAGGCTGTTAGGGCCATTCTTCTGCTTATGCACTTTGTTTCTGCAATTCCTAAGAAGTCTCTGCCTGTTTGTGAATGCAGTCAAAGTATGAGAGCATAAAGCAGTCTAGTACCTAAACCTTTTGAGAGTTATGGGGAAAATATATTCCTAACTAATTTGCCTGGTTTTACTTACCAAAGTCTTTGCGAAGTTATCCTAGAACTTGCAGCTTGTGTGCTGTCACCTAGTGCTGAGCCTGTCGTTTCCCAGCTTCTCTAGGATGAAGAAGCTATAAGTTCAGGCTGCCTTAGCCAAAATAATGGAAAATGGAGAGGCCTCTGCTTGGTTAACGCTCTTAATTAGCAGCCAAGGGAACACTAAACTACTGCAGCAGAAATTTCTGCTTGGTATAATTCTTCATGATTCCAATGTGAGAAGGGAAAGCACCAGGTAGCCTGGATCAATGTCACTGAAGTGGATTGAAGGTAATTTTGGCAGGATACCACTGATGGACATAACCTTGATATCCTGCAGCATCAGCGCCTTCCCAGCACTCTTACAAGCTCCTGTCTCTAGGGTTCAATTTTACTGCTGCGTGTCATTTTTGAAGTCGTGTTGGTGTTTGAATTTCTGTTTCCATGTATCAACGTGTTCTGCAACGAAAAACGATTCTACACCACAGTAACTTCACTCATCTTTTCCAGCATCTCCTTCAAATGCTGTTGTCTACCCCATATTCGGTGCACCCCCAGCCAGCAAGAAAAGGTATGTTCATCTTTGCTAAGTCCCTCCAAACATGATCAGAAGTGTCATATCTGCAGAATCATTGTTCTTTTAAAAAATTATACTAGTTCTAAAAACAACAGCCTAGCTTTCTCCCAATCCTTGTAAGGTTTGGGAGTCTGGGCTCTTTATTGGGTTGACTTTTTTTTTTTTTTTTTGCTTTTAAAGGGAAGATGAAAGATGAAAGTTGTGTTGGTTTAGGAAAACACTAGTGGGTGAATAAGGAAATACACATTTGCTTGCTGTCTGTAGTACATTTTACTTGTGAATTTGTACATATTATTGAGCTGATTTTTTTTTTTTTTTTTTTGAACTAAAAAGGAAATAATCGTTTTCTCTTGGCTGTTGCTAGTGATAAAATCAGGAGAACGAGGGGGACTGTTTCAGGATGTATTCATCACTAAGAATGGCGCAGCCTCGATGGTGTTTGGGCCCTGTAGAGGGGTTTTTATTTATTTATACTACTTCTGGGTGTTCTCTATCTCCATATCTGGAGTGTCAGTAACTTCCACTCTTTATGCACTGGCCGCTCATCAGGGATCTGCACCTCCCATCAGCGCGAGACCCTCGACTTAACTCGCTTAACTCCGAACTTGAGTTGGCACCAGAGGTGTCGAAACGAGTTGTCTTTACTCCGTTTGGCAAGTGCAGCGGCACAGCGTGAGGTTGCTGGCCATACCGCGAGCAGGGAGGCATTGCCGTCCCTCGCTAGAGTCTAAACGACGGTCCGGCTTTATATACCTTTCAGTCTGCGCTGTGGGCAGCAAACGTAATGTATGGCCGTGAGTTGAGCCCGCCTACATCGCCGGTCGGCGTGGCAGCGACGCCTCTGGCGTGGGCGTTCTTGCCAGGCTTGAAGCAACCTTTTGAGCTAAGTTTGTGTACGTCGGCTACAGCGCGTGGAAATTCGGCTTTACGTTGAACTGCGGGTCCCTCGTTGAGTAACGCTGGAACGGGGCAGGTCAGCAACTCTGCTCAGCCCCGTCTGTGGCTCTTGGAGGAACTGGCAGCATCTGTCTCTGTCACACTCGACCTCCTTTACCAGTTAAGCCTCCAGTATTAATTTTTAGACTGTTGAAATGACTCACTTTTGGGGAAGGCACTGGCTTTCTAAAGTTGTACGGAGCTAAAGGTTTCAGAAGGCTTGCTTACCTGCCTTGCGCTGGCGTTGTAGAATACCCATGTTCTTTAAATTTAGCGTCAAACCCACCTCTCTCTGCCATCAGGTTCATTGCTTCTCTGTAGCAGCTCCTCCTGCGATACGCTTTTATAAGCACTACGGTGCCGTGGCTGACATCCACCGAATCTTCACCCATAGCGCTCCGAGAGGTACCTGTGTGCTCTACAGAAATCGCCTCAAGTGCCAGGATCAGTAACTGGGCGCTGCTCGCGTGCCTTTTGTATTGCACTTTTGTTTGGTTTTAACCTGAGAAATTTTAGTACAGCAGCGCTGGGTAGCAGCGTGCTCAGAAGATTTCGTCTAGGTGCCGAAGACAAGGCAGAAGTTGTAATAAAAATGGGTGAAAAGGGTTAAGGGAAGCAGCTGCTTCTCTTCCACTTTCCCATGCTCGCCTGAGTGGGTATTTCATAATTCTGCGGGGCGATGTTTGATGTTCGGTGTGGTGGAAATGAAGCACGAGCACGTGAAGTTTGCTTTTTGATTCTGTAACAGGCGTGATCTTGATAAATCGCTTGCAAGCATTGGGACTCGTAAGCTGTAATTGTACTACCTGATGCCTGTGCTGCTGATGAGTTTACTTCTTCAGTTAGTTTGCTGTCCTACTCGTAGACCTCTAGTGGAAGATGACTTGTTTTTCCACACAAGAACCAGAGCTACTCATCCCTCTCCCACATTGAATCAACTTCTTGATACGTTTTGTTAACAAAAAGCATTCTGAGCTGAGTTTATTGTGAACATAAAAACCCCCACTTAAAGTTGCTCCTAAAAGAGCCAAAATAAACCTTCCAAAACTTGTCGCGCTACTGTAGTCCTCGGCCGCAGAAGTGTTGAAAGAGAGATCTGATTGCAATATTTGCTTTGCTTCCTCATGTGGCTTTTCAAATACCTTCCGTGGTGTCAGTGGAACCCTGGAATGTGTGGAAATCCTGGTGTTTGTGATTAACTGAAAATCAGTCCTGGATTTGCAGTTGTCTCTTGGGAAGCTGATGAGCACAAGCTTTTCCTACATGAAGTCTCTGCTTTGGAAATTTTCCTTAGTATCCAAATCTATAAAATTGTTTGGTGTATCTCTAAATCAGTTCCATGTTAAGGTTCACTGCACAATAGTTACAATTTCCCACTTTAAGACTGCTTCAGAAATGCCACTTTACCTATGGAAGTCTAAAGGCAGGTTGGAAAAGCTGTGCAATTATTAACACCCCTCACAATGTAGCTGAAGCCCACCTTGTCAGCTTAAAAATTCACATAAAGCCTCCATGTCTGGATTTGAAGATGAAAAATTCCCCTTGGCTTTGCTTCAGCCTGCTCCCCTCTTTGGGAAGCTGTCCCTGCTAGACGGCAGAGGAGAGCTTAGCCCCAGCGCCGAGGGCTTTTCCTGAAACCTGCTGATCCCCTGGTCTACAGGTGGTGTTGGCGTGAGGGGCTGGGACTTGGGGTGGCGAAGCAGCGACTGTGCGGGGAAGCGGTCGTGGGACCCCAGGGGTGGATGGAGTGTGGGCTTGAGACCAAGCTACGGCGACTCTCGGCCAAAACCTTGTCACGAGTTCTTGTACGCCGTGGTCAAAACCTAGATGGAATGTGTCCTAGGTTGTTGGAGTGCAGTTGTTCATACCTACTGATGTCTGAAGGTGTAGTTTCCACACCAGCCTCAACTGATAAGGGTAAAAATACATATCTTTTTGATAGTACTTTGCTTCTCTGGGCTGCCCCCAAAGCCGCGTGGCCAGCAGGGCGAGGGAGGGGGTTCTGCCCCTCTGCCCCGCTCTGGGGAGACCCCCCTGCAGTGCTGCGTCCAGCTCTGGAGCCCTCGG